GAGTTGATTAGGTAGGCCAACAAACTTAATCCACACTAGTTGATAGCTCCTACTATCAACCTCAAATGTGAAAAAGCCAACAAGCCAATCACACAATCCAATGGCCCCAACCATCGTCCTCAAGTATGATTATCAGTATTAGTAGAGTGGACACTACATGCCACCATGTACATACAATATGTGTACTTCTCTACTATGCCTAGGACGCGTTTATCAACCTTCGCTTTGGCGAACAAGCAAAACCATCATTTTAAGTCAACCCATCACCATTAAGGAAAACTCCAATGAATTTTAACCTCCTACTGGTATAAGTGTACCCTTCGCTTTGGCAAACAAGGTTTCAACGAACAGTGGTTTGATTAAAACCATGGTGATGGAAGGCATACGTGACTTAATATAAATTAAATGAGAGTTATTATTTAATGTCTCACCAATTTATTATCTTTATTAGAATGACATTGTTTGGCATGTTATTGAACATTCAACCTTAGCATGCATTCTAAACAAAATATTAAAATGTGCCGGTACATGGCCCAACTAAAACTGATTTCCTCAAGCCTAGAGGAATCGGTAGGTCACCTAGGGGTCCTGTAATAAAAACTTGAGTCTTCAAGTATGATCATCTCTTCCTTTGCTCCGCCTCAAGCACATTACAAAAACATCATACTAAATTTACAATAAAATTAATCTTAAAGTAATTTTACATCAATAAATTTAGATACCTTGATTTACATTCGAGGGGAATGAGATGAGAAGAGAATATACATCAAGAAGGGGAAGGAAGACAGGACACGCAAGCCCTATTTTTAAAACTTACAATCATACATACCCAAAATAATTTAAAACATTCACCATAGGTTATAAGGCTCATGTACCGGGCACCATGCAATATATAACCAAGTACATAGCATACATTTCAAAAACAATCAATTTTTGAATTGGGTGGGTTAATTATCAATTACCCTCTTATATGTGCAGAATGATTATTGGCTTTATAGGTTATTAAAAAACTGCAGTTTAGTCCCTTCATGAAAAACACAAAATTTGAACAGCAACATCATCGCCGTAGTGAAGTTTTTATTTTGCCGCAGCTAAAAATTCCAGTAACAACATCGCTGAGGCGAAGCTTGGAAATCCCAAAATGCACAGTTCCCGTTTTTGCAGTTTTTCATGTAATAACACGAATCCAACAATGGATCCAATTACACAGCAGAAAAACAAAAAAAAAATTTACAATAATGGATCGTTCCTTAGAACCAAGATCAGGGTACAAATTTATAGTTTATTCAATAAATAAGAATCTGCAGATTTTCAGTTTAAAGTTTAAGAAATCATACACTCGTTTGGAGGCTCCTCCAACTTCTCTCTGAATGTATTTCACTACCGACCTAGGTGTAGGATCGAATTGGTGTAGTCCACATGAAGATAATCTCAAGGAACTAAAGAGAGATTTGCTAGATCCTCTTTAGCCTTTAAGAACTAAGAACAAATCAAAGTGTATTTGATTTTTAGCAAAAAGCAAAACTGGCGTGAGAAGAGAAAGGGGGCTAGAAATATTTCTTTCAATGATTGAAATGAGTTAATTAAAATATTTCACAAAGTGTGCAGTTATATAGTGCACACTATACCCTATTCCATCATGGAATGAGCTTGGGCTCCAACCCAAACACCCCTTGTATCCAAACATCCCCTTTAAGATATTTTAATTTTAATTTATCATTATCTCAATTAAATACAATTAATATATGTTTACAATATATATATTAATATTTAACAATAATGATAATTTATTTAAATATATGCGAACACATATTTAAACGTAATCTCACTTCTTTAATTTTAATATCAAATTAAATAAAGGCTACGACCTCAGCAGATTTAATTTAATTGCATTGTGAAATGACAAAAATACCCTTTCACCTAAAAAGACAAAAACACCATTCTTCTAAGTTGGCTCTTAAATTATCTTCTATGTGTGTGACCCATAGGCTCCTCATCATACCGATAGTGTGTAGTATTGCGATTAACTCTAATTAATCGTCTCACTACACACAGATCAAGATAAGCCCCTAGCAAGGCATCATGGCCACCCGATAGATTCGGATTCAGCGAAGTAGCTACCTGTCAACGATATGGTTATCGTACAATTTGATCCTTTCATCATCCATTATCTCGATGAGACCATGGCATAGAAATAGTGTCAACCTCGGTTACTCTCGAAATCATGTATTCAGTTACTAGACCAATGACCTGCATTATAAACTGGATAGAGCAACAACTCAATCCCACTGTGGCCACAGTTTTAGTGTCATTGCCATTTACTGAATTGCGTCGCGAGAAAACTTCTCCCATACCCAAGATTGATGAATCCTCTATCTATCCACCATAGTCTTGATACACTCCTTGATGCAGCCAATCACTATCGTATTGACAGCTCTAAATAGAACTGCGTTAGGCTAGTGTCAAACTGCACCAATCGGTGCACAAGGCACTCCGATGATCTCAAGTCTAAAGATCACATGCACCACCATTCATTAGAGGATTTGTTCCATAGACAGTGGGGTTACCATCCATATGGAATCCTCTGGTGGGTCAGTCCAGTGAACTTGCCTATAGCAAGCACCCATGTGTTGCACCAGGTTATCACCAAACATCCTTAACAAGTGAGATCAGTCACTGCCTTTTGACAGGGTCATTCAACACTATGATAGCCTTACCGTATTATCTATGCCCTTACTTCGAAATAATACTAGGGCTACGAACGTTTCTAGAATGGCCACCATATGTGCTCATAGGGTTCTCACTATCAAGATTTGAAACACTTGATACCCTCGTCATGGTTCTACTATTCTAAGGACATATATCAATACATACAATGATGATTTACGCAATATAGTATAAAATGCTTTTTATTGATTAATGAATGTTATTACAAAGAGTCAATTCTACAATAATTGATTGGCTCTAGGGCATCTACTCTAACAACCTCGGTATCAGAACACAAATGCTAGTACCTCAAATGTTTCCTTCTCCAAGGCTTCTCCTGAGTCACCAGTACCTGCAGGAAACACTTATCAAGCAGTAGCAACTCCATAAACAGTGAATGATCAAGCCTGGTATATGGATTCAGGTGTGTCTCATCACATGACAACTGATCGCTCTAACCTGATGTTTAAAGCCAATTATCTAGGATGTTCTAAAGTCCAAGTTGGTAATGGAGAATCTATTCTGATTACTCATATAGGTATGCTTTTGGTGCCTTCATTTGATAATAATAAAGTTGTTAAACTTAGGAATATATTGTGTGTTCCAAAGATTGCAAATAACCTATTAAGTATCTCACAGATTACTAGGGATAATCCTGTTATAGTAGAGTTCCATACTGATGTTTGCTTGGTAAATGATAAGGATAGTGGGACTGTGCTACTTCAAGGGGTTGTGAAGAATGGACTTTACCAACGAGAACTATCCACGCATGTTAGCTCTCCTTCACACGTCTACATCAATACAATTTCTTGTTTTGGTTCACACTCACCAATAAAACTAGAGTGTTATTCCACCGCTGAACCTCACACTACTGGTGTTGGCTTGACATTTGAAGCTGTTCAACGCTCTAGTTCATATTTGTCTAGTGTTGTTAGCTCTAATATCTGTATTTTAGTTGTAATAAAGATAAAAGTCTAGACTTACCTTTGTTATGGCATGCGAGATTAGGGCATCCAAATATGAGAACCCTTCATGCTATGTTAGAAAAGTTGAATGTAAAGCATACTGTGAGTAGTAAAACTGCTGCCTTTTGTGAGGCCTGTCAGTATGGGAAACCACAACAATCTCATTTTCCAGCATCTAAATCTAGAGCAAAGGCCCCTTTAGAGTTGGTTTACTCTGATTTATGAGGCCCAACACTTGTGCTATCTATAGAAGGTTACAGAGACTATGTTATTTTTGTAAATGACTTTAGTAGGTTTACTTAGATTTACCCTCTAAAACTAAAATCTGAGGCCTATGTTGTGTTTATTTAGTTTCACTTTTTTGTGGAGAAATAGTTGAATGAGAAATTAAAATGCTTACAAACAGGTTGGGGTGGAGAGTTTATAAGTTTTTCTGGCTATTTACAACAAAATGGAATCAAGTAGGCACCCCTGCCCATATCTCCATTAGCAAAATTGGAGAGTAAAAATAAAACACAGGTTTATTACAAAGTATGGTATGTCCATCCTGGCACATCTAGTATGCCTCTGAAATATTGGTGGTCAGCCTTTAGTATAGCTACTTATAGCCTTAATAGACTAACTACTTTAGCCCTTTAGTTTGTATCCCGCTATTATGTTTTGTTTAACCAGGAACCTACTTATGATGAGTTTAAGGTCTTTGGTTATAGTTGTTATCCATACCTTAGACCCTACAATAAACATAAGCTTTCTTATCACACAGAAAAGTGTAGTTTCCTTGGGTATAGTCTATCACACAAGGGCTATTTGTGTCTCTCTCCTGCCGATGGAGTGTATGTTGTAAAACAAGTGAAGTTCAATGATGCTGAATTTCCTTTCAAAACTGGTTTTCAGTCAGATGTGTTTGCCATTTCTCTTTCTCCAAATTCTTTGTTTGAGAACAAAATAGCTCAACCTTGGGTTATTCCTCAGCATATTTTGAGAGATGGTTCTACATCATTGGATTCTCCTATTAATCTAAGACTTGATCAATCTGGTTCAAAGTCTATTCTCTCTACTTAAGGTGCTCCTAACTCACCCAATTTCACTCCTGTGGTCTCAACCAATCCTTCAACAGCCTCCACAAATGCAGCTCCCATTTCTAATACAGTATGTCCTTTCAGAGGACACAAATACTCCATCTGACTCAGTGAATCCATATCCTGTTTTTGATACATTGTGTCCATCATCTGTTTCAGTACCAAATTCTTCTTCTGGAGACAAATTTCCTGGTATACAACTAGAGGTAGTGCTACCTTATCCCTCTAATTCAACATTAATGTTCACCCTATGATTACTAGATCTAAGAGTCATATTGCTACTTCCAAATATCAAGCTTTAGTGTCATTATCCACTATACTTTCTGAACCCAAATCTGTAACTGAAGCTTTGCAAACTCCTGAGTGCAAACATGCCATGGAGAATGAATATCAAGCATTGTTGAAAAATAAAACATGGGAATTGGTTCCTTATGAAGAAGGCATGAATGTAGTTGGAAGTAAATGGGTTTTTAAGACCAAATTTAATTCAGATGGTACTTTATAGAAATATAAAACCAAGTTAGTTGCCAAAGGCTTCCAACAGACTCTGGGGTTGGATTATTTTAACACATTCTCCCCTGTTATCTAGGCTGCCACAATTAGGATCATGTTGTCATTGGCAGTCCATCATAATTGGTTCATACAGTAGCTCGATGTCAATAATGCATTTCTGAATGGGGATTTGACAAAACAAGTCTTTATGTTACCTCCAAAAGGTTTTTCAGTTTCAAGTTCTTCACAAACGAGACTTGTTTATAGGCTGCATAAAGCATTATACGGTCTCAAGCAAGCTTTCAGAGCTTGGTTTGATAGGCTGAAAAGTGTTATACTTGAATGAGGTTTTGTCAATTCAACTTCAGATGTTAGTTTATTTTTTTTTTACAAAAAGAAGTTTCAAGTGTGGTATCTCTTAGTATATGTAGATGATATTCTTGTGACATGTAATGATTCTCAACTTAATTGTCTAGTTGTGACTAATTTGAACAACAAGTTTGCTTTAAAGACTCTTGCTGAGGTCCAATACTTCCTTGGTTTTGAAGTAAAGAGGAGTAATTCAGGACTATTGCTTACCCAAACTAAGTATGCACATGATCTGTTACAAAAGGCTGGTATACAAGACTGTAAACCATGCTTAACACCTATGGCTACAGGCCTGAAACTTGCCGAGGAAGATGATGAAATTTTTTATCAACCGACACTCTATAGAAGTATTATTGGAGGGCTGCAGTACCTCATCTTGTCTAGACCAGATTTGGCTTTTTCTATCAATAAATTAAGTCAATTTTTACAGCATCGTATATCAGTTCACTGGACAGCATGTAAAAGAGTCCTAAGGTATGTTAAGGGCACTTTGGAGCATGGCATTCTGTTTACAGGAGATAAACTTTTTACTTTAGAAGCTTTTTCATATGCAGATTGGGCTAGAGATGTGACTGATCATAGGTCAACCAGCAGCTATAGTGTATTTCTCGGTGGAAACTTGATTCAATGGTCTTCTAGAAAATCGAAGGTGGTGTCTTTCACTTCTACTGAGGTAGAGTATATGTAAAACCCCTCCCTAGTCGGGTATTTCCTAAGTATCCCTTGACCATTGAGAACCTAGAAAACGCACGCCTAGGAAAGAAGTTTATTTTAAAATCCTATTTAAAGAATAAACTTGTAGTTTAAAAACATATATATGTATATTTATATTTATTAATTTAATTTCTAAACTAAAATAAGTTCATTGTATAAATATAGTTTCCTTTCTTGGAGTAAATTATGAAATCCATAGTAATACTTACTAGAACATACACAATTTTACAAAATTTACTAGCAATTTGATTTCCTTTATTAATACAACATATTTACTCCATTATAGAATATGGATATATTTACTACGTTATGAAATAGGAACATAATTACTACACTAAATATTAGCAAAACCATTCAATAGTCATCATTAAAACATCCCTTGATGCTCATAGAGTCCCTCGGAATCCTCTCCCAGCTTCATGCCTTAATCCTTACCTACAAAACATTTTAAAACATTTCGTGGGGTGAGCGCTAATCACTCGGTAAGGAATATGGCCATTTATAAACTATCAAGGTTCATTATACAAGTATATTACTTAGGACCTTACCTACCTATAAAACATGACCTTCATTCTTTGACATAGCAAGTTCATAAAACATATCATACACTTTGGACTTTTCTCATAAACATAAGTCATGACATAACCATACATACTATAAGTAGAACATATATGACTTATGAAATATTCATGTACATGGCATGCTTATTTCTTTTGTCTTTATACTTGATGGTTTCATTAGTCTTTGTTATCTGATCAGATTCATTTGAACCATTACCTTGTTCTTGGTCATCACCTCAAAGGACTCATGGTTTCCATAAGAATTCCATTCCTCTGATCTTGGTTTATACCTCAAGAGACTCATGGAATTCATTCTTTAACATTTCATAAATTTTTCATAAGACAACTAAATAAGCTATATGCATTACCATTATGAATGCAAACATATGGACTAACATCTTCCATGCTCAATCATACTATATTCTCCTACTAAACTTCTTAACTTAATTCATTCAATTTCTCATACAATACAAGGAATTTCAGTAGTAAGATTATTCAGGGGTTTATTAGAATTAGAAACAAATGGGAATTTCCATTAAGAAGGTGGATGCCATACAGTTCGTTACTTTCAAGCAATTTTTCCATTATCTTCTAATTCGAATTTATTTTTGGCTAAAACATAAANGCATTGTCCTACTCCGGAACTCTCTTATCTTCTGGAATCCTTCAATTCTGAGTCAAAACTGCCAAGTTTTGCCTTTATTTGCTAAAAGAGTCCATTTTAACCTGAAACACGAAAAGTAGAGAATTACGCACCAATTCAGGTAAAAATGCACTAGAAAGTAATTGAAATCCGACAAAGAGATCATATAAAAACTGTATAATTTACGGATTATCACATAACAACTTCAAATCTACTTCAAAAAGAAAACTCTGCAACACAACATATTCAGCATAACATATTCACACCTTGCAGAGATCCTATCAACATAATACAACTTCCTTGCAGACACCTGATTAGCATACCATAAAACAAAATCTTATCAGCATACCACAACCTTAGTCATTCTCACAACAGACTTTTATCAACACAACATAACACAATCTTATCAGCATACTACATTCGCACATTCTAATTACGACAGACTACTTTGAATCACTACAGGTTACTCTAAACCAGAAACATTCACTGCAGGTAACTCTGAACTAGAAAACATTCTTCTTACCTGTCAGTACTGCTTGGCAGAGAAGAGTTGACTTTTAGCTTGTCCCTTAACATTGCAAATCTAGTACTAGCTAGAGCCTTTGTTAAAATATCCGCTATTTGATATTCAAAAGCAATATACTGTACATTCAGCAACTTCTTGGTGACCAGCTCCCGTACAAAATGCACATCAATCTCGATGTGTTTTGTGCGAGCATGAAAAACAGGGTTGGATGACAGTGCTCTAGCACTCATGTTGTCACACCAAACTACTGGGGTATGATTTATAGTAACCCCAAGTTCAGTAAACAAATGTTGCACCCATACCAATTCAGTAGCAACTTGATTGAGTGATCAATACTCTGCCTCAGTAGAAGATAATGACACTACCTTCTGTTTTCTAGAAGACCATTGAATCAAGTTTCCACCAAGGAATACACTGTAGCCACTAGTTGACCTACGATCAGTCACATCTCCAGCCTAATCTGCATCCGAAAATGCTTCCAAAGTAAAAGGTTTATCTCCTGTAAACAGAATACCATACTCCAAAATACCCTTAACATGCCTTAGAACTTTTTTACATGCTGTCCAGTGAACTATTGTAGGATGTTGTAAAAATTGACTTAATTTATTGACAGAAAATGCCAAATCTGGTCTAGACAAAATGAGGTACTGCAGCCCTCCAATAATACTTCTATAGAGTGTTGGTTGATAAAAAACTTCACCATCTTCCTTGCCAAGTTTCAGACTTGTAGCCATAGGTGTTAAGCATGGTTTACAGTCCTGCATACTAGCTTTGTGTAACAAATCCTGGGCATACTTAGTTCGGGTCAGTAATAGTCCTGAACTACTTCTCTTTACTTCAAAACCAAGAAAGTATTGAACTTCACCAAGGGTCTTTAAGGCAAATTTATTGTTCAAATCAGTCACCACTTGAGAAATAAGCTGAGAATCATTACCTGTCACAAGAATATCATCAACATATACTGAGAGATACAGCACAGCAAACTCCTTTTTGTAAAAAAAAAAAAAAAAATAGACTAACATCAGAAGTTGAATTGACAAAACCCTAGTCAAGCAGAGCATTTTTCAGCTTATCAAACCATGCTCTAGGAGCTTACTTCAGACCATATAAGGCCATATGAAGCCTGCAAACTAGTCTGGTGTGAGAAGAACCTGAACCTGAAAAACCTTCTAAAGGTGACATAAAAACTTGTTCCGTCAAATCCCTATTTAGAAATGCATTATTAACATCAAGCTGTTGTATGGGCCAATCATGATGAACTACTAATGACAACATAATCCTAATTGTGGCAGCCTTGATAACAGGGGAGAAAGTGCCAAAATAATCCAAGCCTGGAGTTTGTTAGAAGCCTTTGGCAACCAACCTGGCTTTATATTTCTATAATGTACCATCTAAATTAACTTTGGTCTTAAAAACCATTTACTTCCAACTACATTCATTCCTTCTTCATACGGAACCAATTCCCATGTCTTATTTTTCAATAATGTTTGATATTCATTCTCCATGGCCTCTTTCCACTCAGGAGTTTGCAGAGCTTCAGTTACAGATTTGGGCTCAAAAAGTATGGTGGATGATGACACTAAAGCTTGATACTTGGATGTAGCAATGTGACTCTTGGACCTAGTAACCATAGGGTGAACATTAAGTGCTGAAGTAAAGGAGCAAGGTAGCACTACCTCTAGCTGTATGCCAGAAAATTTGTCCCCTGAAGAAGAGCTTGGTACTGAATCAGAAGCTGGACACACTACATCAAAATTAGGAGATGCATTCACTGAATCAGACATGGCATTTAAGTCTTCTAAAGAAGAATGTGGTACTGAAGTAGATGGTGGATATACTGTATTAGAAATAGTAGCTACATTTGAAGGAATAGTGGAGACCCCGGGAATGAAATTTGGTGAGTTAGAAGTAGAGTTAAGAGCAGCTGAAGCAGATAGACCAGTCTCGAAACCAGATTTATCAAGGTCTCTTAAAATATGCTGAGGAACAGCCCAAGGTTGAGTTGTGTTGTTCTTAGATACTGAATTTGGAGAAAGAGTACCAGCAGAAACATTCAACTTAAAATCAGTTTTGAAAGGAAATTCAACTTTGTTGAATTTCACTTGTTTGACAATATACATTCTACCAGCAGGAGAGAGACACAAATAACCCTTGTGAGATAGACTATACCCAAGGAAAACACATTTTTCTATGTGATAAGATAGCTTATGTTTATTGTAGAGTCTAAACTCATCCAAAGACCCTAAACTCATCATAAATGGGTTCCTGGTTGAATAGAGTATAATAGGGGGAGACAAACTCAAGGGCTGGAGTAGGTAATCTGTTAAGGATGTAGGTAGTTGTACTAAAGGCTAACCACCAATATTTCAAAGGCATACCAGCATGTGCCAGAATAGACAGACCATACTCCGTAATAGACCTGTGTTTTCTCTCTACTCTCCCATTTTGCTGATGAAGATAAGGACAAGGGTGCCTAAACATGATTCCATTTTGTCGTAAATAGCTAGAAAAACTCCTAAACTCTCCACCTCAATCTGTTTGCAAGCATTTCAATTTCTCATTCAATTGTTTCTCCACAAACAAGTGAAACTGAACAAGCACAACACAAGTCTCAGATTTCAGTTTAGAGGATAGATCCAAGTAAACCTACTAAAGTCATCTACAAAAATGACATAATATCTATAGCCTTCCCTAGATAGCACAGGTGTTGGGCCCCATAAATCAGAATAAACCAACTCTAAGGGGGCCTTTGCTCTAGATTTAGATGCTGAAAAATGAGACTGTTGTAGTTTCCCATACTAACAAGCTTCACAAAAGGTAGCAGTTTTATTACTCACATTATGCTTTACATTTAATTTTTCCAACACAGCATGAAGGGTTCTCATATTTGGATGCCCCAATCTTGCATGCCATAACAAAGACAAATCTAAACTTGTATCTTTATTACAACTAAAACTACAGATAGGAGAGTTAACATCACTCTCTAATCCTGAACTAGAAAGTTGAACAGCTTCAGAGCTCAAGCCAACACCAGCCGTATGAGGTCCAACATTGGAATAACACTCTGCTTTTATTGGTAAAGAAGAAATTGTATTGTTGTAGACTTGTGCAGAAGGGCTAACATGAGTGGACAGTTCTAGTTGGTAAAGGCCATTCTTCACAGTCCCTTGAAGTAGCACAGTCCCACTATCCTTATCCTTTACCAAGCAAACATCAGTATGGAACTCTACTATAACAGGATTATC